GGCAGCATTTCCACTACTGTGGGTTTCCTTGCGCTGGCTCCCACACCTCGTCCACTGTGACAGGACCTCGCCAGCTTTGCTTATGTGAAACCCTGGCAATGAACAGACAGGTTCAAGTGCACGGAATTCCCCCCAGAATCCTGCCCGCCTTATAGGCTGGGGAAACCCAGGCGGTGCTGGGTGAGTGTGGCGTATTGTGTGGGCCCTGTGCTACTGAGCATCATGTGTGAACCTGCCCGGTCTCCTGCTCGTCCATCTCTTGTGGGTTCACCAGGGCAGCACAACTGGAATTGCCCCTGCTTGTCTCCCTGTGTGCAGACAGGAAGCTCAGTCGGCCCTGTCTCTGTTTTGCTTTGTGTGACGTGGAAAGTCCAGGTACTCCGGTAACCTGGCGCTCAGGCCCAGATGCCAAGAGGTGGTGGAATTATTTTGAACTTGGGTCTTTCTAAAGGTAGGTGACTAGGTTCCTCTTGGGAAGCCTGCCCTGAAGCTGCAGCATAGATTCACCCTGAGTGGGAGAATCGCCTGCCCCCAGGCCACCTGCTCTCTGAGTGGCTGTGTACGGAACTCGAGGAGATGGGGTGAGAGGACCCTTGTGGACACTGAGAGTCAGTGTGCGTCGGGGGTCCATGTGACGAAGCAAACTGGCCCCAAACAGGAAGAACTAATCGCCAGCCCCCACCATGAGTTCTCTCCTGCCCTTCCTTTGAAGGAAATCTCCTTTCATATACAGTCGATGGGGGAGAGCAGATTGGTAAGCCATGGATCGCCCGCGTTGAGCCACGGTGGGTGTCTCGGTACCTCCCTGTAGCACAGCGCTGCCGAACAGCCTCCATGCTCATTGAAAATGTCCAACACAGGAGGGGAGGAGAGCAGTGCTGGAGCAGGTACCCTGTGTGGCCCAGGCCTGCCTGTCCACCCAGCACGCGCCCAAGTCGCCTGCCATCTTGGTGCCCGCACTTTTCATCTCCACCTTCTGGGAAAGTTCCTTAAAAAATACATCTTCAGGTGAACATTGAGACCTAGTGGGCAAACAGGGTTAACTTAGTAGGGTTCTAATAATATTTACCTCTAATGGACTTTATTTTTTAAATTGAGGAGCCTCTGTTCCAGAGTAGAATATTATTTTTTTAATCTAACTCATACTGTCTTTGAGAGTATTTACAGAGGTGAGACTAGATTGCAGAGCTGCTTAGCAGCCATGAATGATCGGTGAATCATTTTATTAGGGGATTCTTTCCTTGTGTAGTATGATTCAAGTGAAAAATATTCAGCCGGGCATGGTGACACATACCTGTAATCCCTGGGGTTCTGGAGGCTGAGGCAGGAGGATGGAAAGTTGAGAGCCAACCTCAGCAATTTAGTAAGGCCCTGAGCAACTCAGCAAGACCCTGTCTCAAATTAAAACAAAAGGGGCTAAGAATGTGGTTCAGTGGTAAAGTGCCCCTGGGTTCAATCCCTGGTACCAAACAAACAAACAAACAAATAACATAAACCTTTAAGATGCACTGTGTGTACGGCATTGGTAGTTTCTTTGGAGACAAAAGTAATTAAATTATCTCCAGTTCCCTAGAGTGTTCCAAGGGAAGGAGCTGAGGCCACTGTGAAGCTGAATTGAAAAGGAAAGTGAAAGAGAACAGTGGGATCTGGAGATGTGAGGAGCTTCCCATTGGCAGATAATTGCAAAACCTGGGAGCAACTCAGCCTGGAGCTTTCTGGCTCCAGTCTAAACAAAGGAGGCCAGTTTCCAGATCAGAGCCCTTGGCACAGGTATGTGGCTCTCCGAGTTCAAGGTCTTGCTGCTGGAGAAAGATCAGAAAGGTGCATGAAAGCTCTGCTGGCCCAGGTCACTGAGGACCTGGAGCCAGTGGCCCTGCTTGTCTGACGGTGCTCCCACCAGCTGCCCTCTCTCTATCCCTGGCGTGCAGCAGTCCTCCGCTGACCCAGGCCTCCCCTGCCGCCACTCAGGACCCTGGAGCCTCTCCACCTTGCTACCCCCACCAGGTGCAGCCTGCGCTTCCTACCTGAGTGGAGAGGTGTGCACTCAGAACACACAGGTCAGCCTCCTGTTGATTTCGAAGCGGTGTAAATAACCGAGAACTTCTTTGCTGGCTTTGGAAAAATGATCTCGAGAGTTAAGCAGGTCTACAGGTGACTGTTTCCGAGGAGCGTGTTCCCTGGAAGGCACCTCTGGGCTTTGTGGAGCTCTGCCATGGGCAGGTGGGATTCACTGCCATCCCTGGAACAGCCCCCGGTCGCCACTGCAGATACCAGACATGACTTCTATTTAACTCTTTAAAAATCCAATACTAATCTCAGACTCTTTCCAAGGGAGAGACGTAAAACCCAAGTGAGGACTTGAAAGCAGTTTTTAAATCGTGGCACGTGATTGGGACTCCCTCAGGAGCTGACCGGAAGATCACGAAGCAATTCTCAGGATCGTTGCTGTGTTGGGGGAGGGAGCTGTGGGATCAAGATGTCTCTGTGCATAGGCATCGAAGCAGATGTCAGCCCTGGACACTCTGGCCCCCAGGAAGGCCAACCATTAGAGGATCCACTGAACTTGCACGTGGCAATCTGCCTTCCACAGTTCCCGGGCCCCTCTCCAACAGAGAAGGCGCACCCTGTTTGTACGGGTTGGGAGAATTTAATCCTCATTGTGGATAACACCTTAATACTCTAAAAGAAGATTACTTATTTTTAAAACCTCCTTTCCATTTTGTTCTTGTCCATTTGACAAATGGGGCATTATTATTCTCAGGCCGCAGAGGTGGAGGCTGGTCCAGGAGAGGATTTGGCCCTCATGGCTGTCCCTCCCAGCAGCCCCTGGGGCAGCGTGGGAGCATTCTGTGTGGGCGTATCAAAATGTCACAGCAGGTTCAGTGGCTTCTTAATGAGCTTTCTAGCTGAATGCCAAGTGGAAGCCCAGAAATTTGGTCCAGCCGGCTAGCTTTTTTAGGGGGAGGGAAGCCATAGCCACAGGGCTGAGGGAGGACACTCTGGGGGCTGTGAAGAGTCCTGCCCAGCGAGGTCCCCATCGGTGCCTGGGGTGGTCAGTCCCGAGCTTTCCAGTTATGACTTCTAGAAGTTTTAAAGTCCCTTTTTTGATTTGTTTTTGGTCCGGGGGTTGAACCCAGGGGCACTTTGCCACTGAGCTGAATCCCCAGTCCTTATTAAAACTTTTTAAATTTTTGAGACAGGGTCTCATGAAGTTGCTTAGGGCCTAGCTGAGTTGCCCAGGCTGGCCTGGCACTTGTGATCCTCCCACCTCTGCCTCCCAAGTTGTGGGCTCACAGGCGTGTGCCACCGAGCCCAGCTTCGAGTCCTTCTTCTTACTGATGCGCCTAGTCCTTAGACACTTGCTCAGAGCTCTGTGTTTCCAGAAATGTGGGAGGGGGCTTTCTGCAGGCTGGACTGCATGCGTGCGTGTGTCAAGGCACTGAGGAAGTGTTTCCAGAGTAAGAGTCTGACTCGCTGAGTGCAGAGGGCTCTCTAGAAGGCAGCGGAAGCACCACGTGCCCTTCCGTGTCCTGCTGTCTTGTGTTCACGCAGAACAAACCAGGTCCGTGAAGACCAAGCAGAGCCGGTTTCCTCCACGTGATGAGCAGGTAGCTCACCTGCCATCAAAATATGCGTCTCCAGAAAGGCTTGTTTAGGGCTGACACATATTTAATAAACAAGTGACGTTTCTATCCAACCGTTAGTTGTCCCAGGCCTTTGGAAGACCTAACTGATCCCTGTGGTCGGTCTCTGGAGGATGTTACAAACACAGAGGGACACAAAGAGTCTGGCCTTTCTGCCTGGGCTGGTGGGAGGCAAGGAACTTCTGCTGGATCCTTGGGACCCCTGCCTCTCGTCCTGGATGCTGGGAGCAGCCGTGCCAGGCTCCACATGGTGTGTGCAAGGGGCACTGAGGTGGACATGGTGGATGCAGGATGGCCGGGGGTGGGAAGCCAGGGGACAAGAGGGAAGGGGGGATGGCCCCGGCCTGAACTCGGAGTAGCAGGCCCTGGCAAAATCATTATTTTGATCATCTCTCTACTTGGTATTTTAGATTCTGATAAATCCACCAGAGTGGGGTCAGCCATTCCCCTGGGAAGGTGAGATCCATTTTGCTTACCCTGAGCTTCCTGATAACTAGGCTTTGGCCAAACACGGGCCACTGCTGGAGCCTCTTCGTCCACCCTGTTGGTTATCCAGTGCCCATTGGGTCCCGCTGCCCTCAGCCCACGCAGCGGGCACCGGGCCTCATCACCGGCCAGCGCTGTGCCTGTGTGGCATGAGGCCTCCTCAACCGCTCTGCTCGTAAGGGACTGGAGACTAGCCGTCGCGGTCTGGGCTGTGACGTCAACACCCTCTAACGTGCTTCCAGACTCAGGAGGAGTTGAGTTTGGTTTACTCCCTTTTGTGGTTGCTTGTCTTGTCCTTTAAATTCTTATTCTATAAAACAAGTTCATTTTGTAACGATTTTGCTCAGGGTGTGTCACTTTGTAGCCATTTGGTATTTCATACGTTCTTTCAATTATTTCCGCCGTCTTTGAAGAACCATATGTTAGGATTATTTAGATATAAACAATTTCTTGTGTTCCAGGTGAATTTTAAAATTCTACTTAAAATTTACATCTGTAACATCTTTTTAAGGCTCATTTTTAGTGAGAGAAGATGGCTAATGGCTTTTGCTCTTTATGAACATGGACATGTCTAGGGAGTTTAAAATCTGTCATTGTGGGAAAATACAACAAAGCAAAAAAGAAAACTCGTTATGTGGGTAAAGAAACAATTAGAGCGACCCATCAGGAAGCAAGAATTTGATATATCTTTTCTAGTTTCCGAATTACTACATATTAAGGAAGAGGTAGATCTGGATGTTTATCCAAGTTCATGGAGGTTCTGCCCTCGCTAAGGAAGGAAGTCTGGGTTGCCGCATTCTGACATAAAGACGCCTGTGGTGCCACTTGCTCTCCTGTACAGTTCTTCCTGTCACCTTGTCCCTCCTGCAGGTGGTGGCCTGTCACGTGATGAGCAAGACCCTTCAGTTCCTGGTCAGCGCAGCGCCCTCGGTGACCGGCTCGGGACACCAGCTGTATGACGTACAGCTCTCCCCAGTTCATCTGCAGGTGAGGCTGGGCAGATTCTGCAAGTCACAGGAAGACGGTTCCCATAGACTCATCCCCTGCACTAAAGGCCCAAGACAGTCCCTGCCCATTAGGCCCACATCTGGGATGGGGTTGGGCACACGTCGCTCTCAGTGTGGCCTGAGTTACAGGGCTGTGAACGTCCACGTTCTTGTTGCCACTGGTGTATCTCAGTCTGTAAGCTCCCATGTTGCACCGTATGTATGGGACATAAAACATGCACACGCACACACACACACACACACACACACACACACACGCATGATGAATCCAGAGACTGCCCCTGTCAGGCCTCCAGGCTGGTCAGGACTGTTGCCGACCGGTGGGGCAAGGCCCGTGGCACCTGCCGGGAGTCAGGTGCTGGACCACAGGTGTCTACACAGCTCAGAAAGACAGCCGGGCAGAGCTGGGAGAGGTGCTAGCTTAGATTTTGAAAAAAGTCGACTTTAAAACAATCCATTATTGTTGTAAGTTAAAAAAAATCAGCACTACCATTATTCTGTGATAACAGATTTGTAATAATAAGACCTATTTTACATGTAATTACAAAAAGTGTGTAATGCAGCACAGAGGGACGTGTTTCTAATGATGGTGACAAGAGGCCCAGTGCAGCTCTGGATGCCAGCGCCAGGAAACTGCACGTCCCTCATTGTGCACATACACAGGTTGCCGGGGTCTGGTGGAAAGAGCAGCCATCCGACACACTTGTTTATTCTTTCTTTCTTTCTTTCTTTCTAATAGCTGGAGCTCCACATGAAAGAAAAGAGAGAAGACATCCAGATTCGGTGGTCCTACATCCATGTGCCAGAATTGACCATCAAGATCCAGCCCCGGGCACCAGGGGAGGTCAGTCCCTCCGTGTCTGATCCTCCGTGGTTGAGGAGGCAGGCGTGATGAGACAGCGGGTGGAAAGCTGAGGCTCGGACCCGCAGACAGCCAACTGTTGGGCACCTGCTTCCCCGTCTCCCTGCCCTCCCAGGCTGCCTGGACACCAAGATGGGGCACTGCGAGAGGCAGCCCAGAGGGCTCTGGTGCCACTGGAATCTCTGGCTGCTTTTAAAGTTCCTGATGCCCAGCCCCACCCGGGTATGGGCCTAGTGGGCAGGGACTGTCTTGGGCCTTCAGTGCCATGGAAGGCACCAGCCCCTGTGGCCATGCAGCCGTGGGTCCCCCACTCCCTGGCTGAGTGCTCCTGTGCAGAGGCCTGCCTCCCCAGGCTGGGGCCTCCTTCTTCCCCTATTTCCTGGAGGAAGCCGCTAAAACCTCAGGGTAAATTCCCTCCAGCTTCCCAGTCTCAGGGGTTGAAGAAGTGAACTGGGAAATGGGGAGTGGGTAGGCCGCAAGGAGCCCCGTCTCCCATCTCTTGCTGGAGAGGTGACACAGAGCCAAAGCTGGGGTGGTCAGGGACCTCCTTTCTGGTGGCTCAGGACACCATCTTGTCGGTTCCCCTAGTTCAGCGCCTGAGGCGTCAGCACAGCCGAGAGGGCAGGCTCAGGTTCCAGAAGATACTCGAGCCTCCGGTCTCGATGGAGTGGGAGGCGGTGTTCTGCTGTTTGCTAGTAGACTTGAGTGCGTGGTCGGACGGCACCTGTCCCTGGCCCGTCCCTCACCCAGGCTGTCCCTCAGTTCCCCTTCCTCCTCCCCCTCACTCCCCTCCCCTTTCTCAAACACCGGTGTGGCTTGTCCAGGCCACACGGCTGCTTCCTCCCTCCCTGACACCCTCAGCACCTGCCTTCAGGAGTGCCCTCTGACCCTGGCATCAGAAGGCGTCCTGCTGAGGATACCTTCCTCTGTCCAAAAATCACTTGAATCGCTTTTTCCCCGGAAGGTCATGTTATCAGTTTGGTGTTGGTCAGCCCGTCTATGTTGGTATCTGTTTGTGGGTTTCCTCTCCATCTGTGTTGATTTACATGTTTCTTGAGTGTAAAATATCAGCGTGATTCAAAAGTCAAAGCCATCCAGAAGGCTGGACTCCAAGGTCCCATGCTGCTCCTCCCTCCGCCCCTGGCCACCTCCTGCACGTGGTGATTTGAGTCATTGGTATTTGTCACCTTCTTGTATTTCCTTTTCAAATACCATCCTGTGCCCCTTTCTTGCCACTGTAGCATGATGCCTGGGCTGTGGGTGTCTGTTCCCCACCTCCAGCACCCCCTCTGCCAGGTGGAGTGTGTCTCCCAGAGCTGGCCTGCCGGGCTCAGTGACCTGCCCACAGGCCTGCTAGGGAAGGATGGCCCTGGGGGCGGCTGGGCAGGGAAGGAGCTGGGCGGGGGCAGCTGCTCTGGAATCTGGGGTGTGGTAACAACTGGCATCTGGGGCCCGGGCCCGCCTCCCACCCCAGGGCTGCCCACTCTGCTGGGTGAGGAGAAATGGGCAGGTCAGAAACCCAAGGTGGGGCACACCCATCCACAGATGTCATCAGCCTGGAAGGAATGGAGCTCTGGTGTGCTGCCACCTGGGCGGCCTTGAAAGCCATGCCAAGTGACAGCAGCCCGTCATGGGGCCACATATCATGGGGTCCATCATGTGGAGCCCTGGGGCTGGGGGAGGGACGCTGAGGGGGTGGGGCATGGGTTTGCTCTGGGGGATGGTGACGGTGTTGGAACAGGAAGGGGTGGTGGGCACATGACATGGTGAAGGTACTGAACAGCAATGAAATGTCCACTTTAAAATGGTTTATTTTATGCCACACGAATTTCATCTCCATTTAAAATAAGGAATAAGTTGTCAAGCTCTATTCATGAGGGGTTGATGGGTACATTCAAAGCCCAGATCACCACAGCCCAGACCTCCCTGGATTTGGCTCCTGGCTCTGCTGATTTGGGGCTGTGTGACCCCACCATGTTGATTGACTTCCCTGTGCTCCGGTTTCCTCCCCTGTGAGATGGAGTCAGTGATGCTCAGGGCGGTTGTGGGGAGGAAGCCGGTTAAGACACGCAGGTGGGTGAGTGAGCCTGGCACATGGTGGGAGCCATAGTGTCAGCGATTTCCATTCTTGTTATTTCAGAGACCCTGGCAGAGAGTCAATTTTCAGTAAATGGTAGATTTTTACCAAGCTCCCTGTAAGAAGTCCTGGCAGAGGAGGGGACAGGCCAGCTGGTTGTCCTTGGGACCACACAGACCAGCTCCAGGCTGCTTTCTGAAATCTCTTCCTGCCCCACAGTGCTCCTGGACACGTCCACCAGCCTGTAGCCCTGGTGAGGCTGGTCCGGAGCAGGCTGGCTGGGCTGGGGCTCTGCGGTGAGGGTTGGAATTGGAGGTGACCGAGGGCTCCAGCCACCACCCGCAGAGCCAGCACTAGTACCAAGGCACAGAATCATGGCGGACACTTGCTCCGCGCAGCTGCTCTCCCCGAGACCTGGGAAGGTTGGAGTGACCCAGGCAGCCCCAGGGTGTGCTGCGGCTTCGGCAAACACCCATCGGGCCCTGCAGTCAGGGTTAAAACAAAAGCCGATATTTAAATAAGTCTTTTTTGGAAAAACTACACCAAAAGCACCTTTAGGTTAGTTGGGGTTTTAAAAAATAGGTCCTGCTTGCTAAAAAGTCGATTGTGACGTGCTTGCGGAACAGTGCACAAGCCTCAAATGGAATTGGCTCCAAGGAAGCTCCCCAGGGCCACGTGTGCTGCCCAGCCCCCCAGGGTCAGCCAGGGCTTTCTGGGCTTGGCCCCCTTCCCCCTGAGGCTCACCCACGCCTCCCGTGTGGGTGCATTTTACTCATTGCTATGCTGTTCCGTCCTGAGACTGCTACAGTCCCCGAGTCTATGTAGCCACCAACGGGCACTCTGTGGCTGAGTCCAGGCTGCTGTGACCACTACCACAGGCCTGGAGACTTACAAACAACAGAACTTCATCTTTAGAATGGAAGTGCCCAGCTGCCCCATGAGCGCCCGCCCCAGGTTGCAGAGAGCTGCCTTATGCTGGTCCTCAGGGGGTGAAGGAGGGCGGGCGCCCTCTTGGGCCCTCCCATGAGGCACCGATCCTATCAGGAAAGTGCCACCTCCTGCCCTCCACCTCCCAATGGCCCACGTCCTGTTCTGTCACCCTGGGGGGAGGGTCTCAGCATTGGGACTTCAGAGGGAGTCGGTCCACTCCACTTTGATGGCCTCCAGCTTGAGGTGCCCATGAAGAGTGATGCCAAGAACATTCTAGAACATATGAACGCATTCTGCTGGGTACTAATTATTGTAACCTCCTATGTCCTGCCGTCTGGTAACGGAAGTCCTCTGCTTGGTTCTTCGTTCTTCTTGGATCTTTTCATGTCCTTCAATACTTTGTGATTTTCAAAAGAAATCAAACTTATATGAGAAAGGAAACAAACGTGTGTGCGTAGGTTGAGGGGGCAACATGGGAAGGAAGGGTGTGCAGGAACATTGACTTTCCTACGCTGCATGTCTGTCTGCATGTTTAGGAATCTGCTGTGAGAGGTGTGAATTACCCCTGAAACCAGCAAAATGACCCTGTCTCCAGGTGAGAGCGGGGATGCTCATCTGTCTGTCCTGGAGTCCCAGGGACAAGGGCCAGCGCAGCCCCCACCTCTAGTCTGCTGTGAGCTTGCCTGCCAGATGCCCGGTTGTGAAATGACTCCATGACCATTCCTCTCCATAGGGCCAGGTGGGAGAAACAAATGCAATATCTGAAACCCTCAAGGACATTTTGAAGCACCTGGTGAGTTCCACCTCTCCGTCGGTGGTTCTGAGCACCAAGCCCACGGATATAAAGGAAGCTCAGGTAAGTCCATTCATTGCGGGGTGCCGTGTTTCTGAGTGCTGTTGGGCATCTGGCTGCTGCTCTTGGGGAACGTGCATTTCTATGTCTCTCCCTCCCTCTGTGGAGCCGAGCTTGCGTGAGCACTGCCCGATGGATATCCCTGTGTCCTTGTAATGGAGCCCTGGGCCGAGCACAGGGTTGCATGCTCCATGAGGCCCAGTTGAGGCCAGGCCTCTGCTTTGCATGAGCTCCAGCTTGACTTCTTACTGCCTCGTCGAAGCCTACTCCCCGGCCTCCGTCCTTCCAAGAATGAGTGTTTCTCCCAGCTTTGGTTGCTGTGACCAAAATACGTGCGAGAGCAAGTTAGAGGAGGAAAAGTTTATTTGGGCTCATGATTTCAGAGGTTCAGGCCAAGGTCAGCCAGCTTCATTGCCCTGGGCCTGAGGTGAGGCAGAAGAGCATCATGGCGACGGGTGTGGAGAGGGAAGCTGCCCGCTCTTGGCAGCCAGGAAGCAGAGAGAGAGAGAGAGAGAGGGAGGGCCCAGGAGCAGGTATAGACTAAAGCCACACCCCCAGTGACCTAATTCCTCCAGCCACACCCCACCTGCCTACAGCTAGCACTCACTAGTCCATTCAAACTCTTAGTCATCAAATGGAGTCATCCCCTGTGAGGCCGCAGCTCTCCCGATCCGTCTTTCCACCTCTAAGCATTGCTGAGTTGCCTAACACAAGAGCTCGTCGGGGGCATTACAAATCCAGACCCTGACCCTGAGGGACCTGGGAAGCCAGATTGGTGATGAGAACCATACCCCAGAAGCAAGCAGCGCAAAGTGGACTGAGGCTGCTGGGTGGACTGAGGCTGCTGGGTAGACTGAGGCTGCTGGGTGGACTGAGGCTGCTGGGCCTGGACCAGGGCCAGGCTGGTGACGCAGCCCACCAGCGGAGCCTCTGGGCGGTGCACAATGGTGGAGGCCAGGCTCATCTGTCAGGCCTTCTCAAAGAGAGGGTGGGCCCTGCCTCCCAGAGGGTGAGCAGAGGCCAGCCACCCACCGTGTGAGTAGTTCTATCACAGTGGATTCCTGCAGATCAGAGAGGACTGACTGGTGACCGAGGTTACCATCAAAATGGAGCAAGTTCACAAAATAGTAGCATGTTGTTAGAATCCATGGAGTCAGGAAATAAAAAGTTCAACACTATCATAAATTCAAAAATATTTTAAAATAAATGTGTAGTTTTCTCAAATAGGATAAGCACTGGTCATTGTCCTCCAGAGAGACGGGACCCATGGGAGATAGAGAGGATAGGTATGGGCTGGCATGGTCACGGGGGCTGATGTGCCTGGGGTATAGTTCTAGACCAAGGGTTGAGCACCAAGACCAGCTCCAGTCCGAAGCTGGCAGGCTCGAGGTCAGAAACCACCAAGGTTTCGATCTTCCACTGGAGTCCCTGAGCAGAAGAACACCCACTCCCAGCTCCAGGGGTCAGGAGGAGGAGTCTCTGATACGAGGTCAGATCGGCCTCCAGCTGACTGGTGCCCATCCTCATTGTGGAGGGCCGGTGTTTCACTCAGTCTGTTAATTTAAATATTAAATTTGAAGCCAGAAACACACCTAGAATGTTGTGTGACCAAACAGGACCCAGTGAAGGTGACACAAGATTGACCACCGCCCGTGTGCAGTTGAGAAAACACCTCGTCTCCAGCCTGTCCCCTCGTGTGGGCTGTTCTGTCATGCAGCTGACTTTAAGGACTTTTGCCGTCATTCGGTGGCCTCACGTACCCTCAGCTCACGGTCGGGAGGACCTGGTCCAGAACAGCGTCTTCTAGATGGTGTCCTGAAGGACGATGGTGGCGCTGTGGATGTTGGCGCGCATCCCCCTGGGGGTGCGCCAGAGCCGGCCACGTCTGGGTCTCTGCCAGCACGGCTCTCACTGAGCAAAAGGCCCTCCCCGGTCCCCTCGCGCCTGCTTGGAGGCAGCAGCGAGTAGTGGCTGGCGGCTGGCGGCTGGCGTGGGAAGTGCTGGCTAGCAAGGGCCCTCCAGACCTGGTGATGCGTGCTGCTGGATGCCCCTGATGCCTTTGAGGATGACACGAGGGTGATCCTGTCCCCTTGTTTGTCCACGCCAGTCCATCTCAGATACTTCCCACTCAGATGGCTGAGGCCATTCACGCCTGGCCAATGTCCCATCAGTGAGATGGCAGTGGGTTCCTGCCACCTGGAGAGGACCATTTAAGGCACTGTCCTGGGCTGGACCGTGGCCCCACAGTGCTGCGGTCTCCACCACTGCGAGACCCAGGATCCTCTCTGGCTGGTCAGGCACTGGCTCTCTCTGGGACGGAGGAGGCCCCTAAGCAGGAACAGTGCTGTGGCTCACTGGTGCCCTGCCCCCCCGGGAGTAGGGAGCGTTGTTACAGAGTGGCCACCTCCTCGTCCACGTTCTCCCTGTGGTTGATGCTCTTTGCTTTGCTTTCCACAGAATCTACAGCGCGCTTCCTCTCCTGCTCAGGAATCCTGTCCTCCCAAACCTCCCAGGGCTCATGAACTAAAACTGCTGGTGAAGAACATCCGGGTCTCGCTGCTCAACGATCCTGGTGCTTCAGGTGGGTGGGGTGCGGCAGGGTCTTGTGGGGCTGTAGCTGTGCATGGAAGTGACAGCCTCTGCACCCGAGCCTGGTGGGCTCCAGGTGGCCTGGGACCCTGGTGGCACCCGGTTGTGTCTGCAGTGTTGCCCCCTGCCTTCTTTCAACATGAGTATCTGAAGGAAGTTCTGATGAAGGGAGGTGGAAACAGGGCACAGTTGGCCAGGCACCACGACTCCTGGTGTCCTCCAGCCCTGTGGGGGACTGCAGTTGACAACAAAGCATGCACGCAGCTAGCAGGGCAGATTCTGAATGCTGGCGACTCCAAGAAGTGACTGGTGTTGGAGGCGATGGTCTGCCGGTTAATCTGAACTGGTCGTTGCACATTGCATACTTGTTTTGAAATGTCACACTCACCCCATAAATGTGTGCACTCACTGTGTGTCAGTTAAGAGTCGTGAGTTCTCTGTAAGGCATCTCCAAACTTAGGAGTCATCCCGAGTTTACGTTTAGGCTTAAAACTGACTTCTTGGGGAAGCGGTCAGTCTCATCTGAAGTAGGACCATGTGGGCAGTCCCGCCTGCAGCCAGGATTGACAAAGGCTGTGGGCTACTTGGGGTCAGTCTGGGGCTACGGACATCAAACACAGTTCAAAAAATTTTAACCCCAGTGAAATCCATGGCTTTGAGAGTGTAAATGGCAAATGAAAGCAAGAGTGGACTCTCACAGTGGGTGAGCTGAGGCCTCTCCCTTTAACTCAGGCCTTCTTGTACCTGCAAACAGTGTCCTGATGTGGTTCCCCCAATCCCGCTTCTCTCCTCCCCACATCCTGCTTAAGGTGGGCCAAAATGGGACAGTGGAGTGACCCAAGGGCCCAGGAGGCTTCAGTAACAGCCCCCTGTAGGGGGAACAGTTCCCTGCGGGCAGGTCTCCCTGAGGACAGGCTGCAGCAGGAGGAAGGGCTGAGGAGGGTCAGCATTTCATTTCCTCCTGGATCGGCCCCCGTCTCTCTGCCCAGTCATGTGTGACCTACACTGACTGTCTTGGTCCCTGGCCTCGGTATGATCTCTCTTTCCTTCTTTTAGGCAGCGTTAGCCCCGTGTGCATTGCCCAGCTGAATGACCCTGTCCAGAGGTTCACCAGCACCCAAGCCAAGAGCACTACTCAGCTCACCTGGGAGGAGGAGTTCACCTTGTGAGTACGGCCTGCATCCCAGGGCAGTGTCCATAGCCAGGTCTGCCCAGACCGCCGGAGCCCAAAGTCCTTGTCCAGCACCGTTTATGCTGGAAAGCTAAATTAAGTTAGAAAATAAAGCCATTCTAAGCACATAAAGGCAGCTGTAAATCAAACTCAGGTTTCTTTTGAAAGGCAGCTCTCAGGATTAATCTTCTCCTTGTCCCCTGTTGTGACAAGAGGGAACTGTTGTAGAACTCCCCTACGTCCCTTAGACACACGACCATCCTGAGCTGAAGGAGACTTCCCGTTGATGCCAGAGTGCCATAGAGCAGAAGGTACAGGTGTAGGGCACTCACAAATAAAGATGTAAGAAATAATAAAATAGGGCTGGGGATGTGGCTCAAGCGGTAGCGCGCTCCCCTGCCATGCGTGCGGCCCGGGTTTGATCCTCAGCACCACATACCAACAAAGATGTTGTGTCCGCCGAGAACTAAAAAATAAATATTAAAAATTCTCTCTCTCTCTCTCTCTCTCTCTCTCTCCCTCTCTCCCTCTCTCCCTCTCTCCCTCTCTCCCTCTCTCCCTCCCCCCCCCTCTCCTCTCTCACTCTCTCTCTCCTCTCTCACTCTCTCTTTAAAAAAAATTCTCTCTTAATATTTTATTATTTCTTTTTTTTTTAATCAGGTAGAATCTAGAAGCACAATTAAAATAAAGCCACCTGAGTTCATACCAGGACTGTAAGGAAATCTAATAATGAATTTTATTGTATCGTAAATTGAAGGGAGAAAATAAACTTATTATTTTTATATATTTTTTAAGTATTTATTTTTTAGTTGTATTTGGACATTTTTAAATTTTATTTATTTATTTTTATGTGGTGGTGAAGATCGAACCCAGGGCCCTGCACGGGTGAGGCGAGCGCTCTATCACTGAGCTACAACCCCAGCCCCTATTCCTAATTTTAAAACATTTAATTAGAATAAAATTTATGGATACTTCCTTAATAAGACTTTAAAAAATACTATGAATGGCAAATCTCAAGAGCAGCACCACAGACATGAGAAGATCCCGCTGTTTTGTTCTAGAAGAACTGGTCACTGCAGTTAAGTGGGAACGAGAAGTGACGTGCGGAGACTGGGAAGGGAGGCTGACGGCTGGCCGCTTCTTGGAGCTGATCTTATTTTATTGCTGGACTAACCAAGGAAATCGGCCAACACTTGGAAATGATAATGGATGTAGGAAAGAAATAATTAATATTAGACGATCCAATAGAAAGTGACTCTTGAACTTGAGGACTGCAGTTCAAGGCCAGCCTGGAAAACTTAGAAAAACTCTGTCTCAAAAACAAAAAATTAATTAAAGGGACTTGGATGTAGCTCAGAGGTTGGGCGTCCCTGGGTTCAATCCCCAGTGCCCCCCCCAAAAAAAAAACACCTAAAATTGATAGAAATAATAACTGAGTTAAAAGCCTGGCTAAAAACAAGAACAATCTGCTTATACAACAAGTAGTTATAGAAAGTGGTGTAGGAAAGCATCCTCTATATCTTTACAAAGTGCTGTGGTGAATTCTTAATGAAATAGGAATACCCACTTAGAAAATGGCAAAATTTCCTAACTGGAGATAAAATGCAAATAGAGATGGACATACACTTCTAAAAAAAATGTTGAGTCTCAGAAATACTTGAAGTTATGCAGACTTAAATAAAAGATTGTTTTTCACCTTGGAGTTTGGTAAAGAATGAGAGAATAGTAATGTCCATTGGAGTAAATATTATGGACATCATCAAAAGGTATATTTTAAAAATATGTCTTAAATGTATGTACTTCTTGACAGGTATAGTTTTCTTCAGGGAATAATTACACTGTGTACAAAGATATATGGGTAAGGATATTTGTCGCAGCTGATTTATAATTATAAAATATTAGAAACAGCCAACTCATTCTTTTTTTTAAGATTTTCTTTTAGTTATAGATGGACACAATATCTTTATTTATTTATTTATTTTCATGTGGTGCTGAGGATCGAACCCAGTGCCTCATACGTGTGAGGCAAGCGGTCTACCACTGAGCCCCAGCCGCAGCCCTTCCATTCTTCATAGCTATTAAGGAGCTGGCCAAGTAAATTTTTCACAAGGCCAAATAGCATCACAATAGACGCTTGTGAAAAATGCTGTTTCTCTGTAGTGACTGACATGGAAAGATGTCTGTGTAAGTGAAAGGAAATGTTCCAGGGGAAGAAGGAGGTATTTGGTGTCTTTAGATAATTGTTCAGCTTTCAACAAGGTAAATTCCAGCCACAGGTGGCTTATGTATTAAGTTAATTAAAAATTAAAGTTAAGCCTGGCTCCTTGGTTTGCATTGACCATGGCATCACCACCACCAAAAGTGAGCTGTCCTGGGCAGCTCCGGAAGGCAGGTGGCCAAGCATTAAGAGTAGCTGTGTACAAAGGATGGGCTGCAGGTGACCGTTCCTGTTCTGATTACATGTCTCCGCAGTTTCTTAACTATTAAAAACATTGTGTTCTTTTTTATCATTGAAAAAAAATCACCATACCTTGAGAAGGCCACAGAGCGTTGCTTTCTGAAGGCCTCATGCTATTTTCCCTGTCTCAGTGAGCTGAACGCCAAGTCCAAGGAGTTACACCTGCAGATTGCAGAGAACGGGCGGTCCTCAGAAGGTGGGTGAGCAGGTGAACTGGGCCCCGCTGTCTGGGGAGGTCACCCAGGGCCTGGGCGGGGTGGGTTAGCAAGGTCCAGCAGAGGAGGCTGGCCCTCTCCCTGAGCCCTGGACTTTCCAAGGGCACATTGGGTTCCAACTCAGTTTACATTATTGGCAAGTCACAGTTTTGGAAAATGTTCATCTGTTTTTCTTTCTTTCTTTCTTTCTTTCTTTCTTTCTTTCTTTCTTTCTTTCTTTCTTTCTTTCTTTCTTTCTTTCTTTCAACAATTCAGAATCTTTTATTCAACAATTCTTGGCTCAGAGAAGCAGTTCTGAACCCTCCTAGCCTCAACAAACTTCCTTTTTAATTTTTTTATTGGGTAAGGTATATAGAATATGAGATTTATTTACCATCTCCGCCCCATTGCTTTCTTTCTGTGTGTGTGTGTGGTTCTGGGGATTGAGCCAAAGGGTGCTCTCCCACCGAGCTACACTGCAGCCCTTTTTATTTTTTATTTTGAGATGAAGTTGGCCAGGCTGGCCTTGAGCTTGTGACCCTCCTGCCTCAGCCTCCTAGTCCTGGGGCATCATGGCCCTTTATCCCAACAGTCTTTAGGGTCTATTTCCTAAGAATAAGGATGTTCTCTTTATGTCCTCTGTGCAGTCGGCAGCTTCTCGATCCACACTGACCTGCTCTCTCGTCCACTGTTCCTGTGCCAGAGCTGTCAGTGGGCTTCTGGCCAGTCATCTCCACACCTGTTGTGGGGGTTGCCTCTGACCTATCCCAGAGCCGCCTCTGGCTGGAACACCCCCGCCGCCTGTCTCTGGTGACCCTGACACTTGACAGGATTTTGAAATGGGGCCCTTTCCAGCTAATGGGATCAGCTCACGGCCTGACAGACGTCAGCAGTGCTCCTCCTTGTCCTTCCCTAGGTCTGCTGGCCATGACCACCGTCCCTCTGGACCTGTTCAAGAAGCAGCCTTCTGGGCTGCAGAGTTTCACGCTGATCGGAGGGCCCACCCTCAGCAGCTCGGCGCTGGGCTCGGTCACTGCAGAGGTATGGTGGCCTTCTTGTCCACAACCACATTTGGGTCTGACCTCCTGTTCTAGGGGCTTCCTGTTGCTGCCAGAGGCTCCCTCTGCCTCCAGTGCCTCACGAGGCTCACGCAAAAGACACGGTCTCACAGCATGCGTGTCTGGATTTGGATGGACCCGGCCCGCGGTGCTGGGGTTGTGTTGTCCAACATGTGAGATAACATATCGGGGCGGCCTCTTGGGGCCTAACCCTAAAGGCCTTTTAAAAAATCTCCGGTTCTCCGGCTTTTAATTCCACTGTTGTTTTGTGCAGGGTTAGCTGTGTTTGAGCTCAGCGGTCATGCTTCTCCGCTGGCTCTGGGGAAATCCAGGTCAACTGAAAAGATTAAGTGACATTAAGTAAAAAGAGTCTAGTGGGTATTTCAGAGGAAGCAGTGTTCCTTTGCTAGTTAATCGGCCCTCATGCTAACAGTTGGCCTGCGGTGTCCACGGGTTCCTCATCTGCAGATTCCACCAATTGTGGATTGAAACCCCTGGGGAACCACATCTACTGAGCATGCACAGGCCTTTTTTCTTGTCATTGTTCCCTGAACAACAGGTCTAGTAACCACTCACACTGCATTTCCACTGAAGGAGGGCTACAGGTCATCAAGGGACCAATCGAAGCACCTGGGAGTATAAGTTATATGCAGTACTGCACCATTTCATATAAGACTGAGTGGCTGAGGATTTCGGCATTCTGGGGGGTCCTGGAACCAAACCCCATGGGTGCTGTGGGATAGTGTGCTACAAAACAAATAACCAGCCTTCTCTACAGTTTTCTTACATAGAACCCGGTGAATTGAAATCTTGGCAAACCCCTCCCCCTGTTGCTGCTGCAAAGATAGAAAAGGACCGCACAGTGATGCCCTGTGGGACCGTGGTCACTACTGTCACTGCCGTGAAGACCAAGCCTCGCTACGATGTGGGGAGGGCGTCCCCACTGAGCTCTGGTGAGACACTGGAGTACAGTCCCTCGCCGGCCTTGCGAAGGCAGAGGACTCTGGGCTGCTGCCCTGGGCCTAGTAAGGTGACCTTGAGCCAGGAGGGGGGCAGCTGGTAAGACCTGAGCTTGCTTTTGCTTTGGACACTTACCTTTCTCTTCTATCAAAGAAATGCCTGGTAGGTGACACAAGGTTCAACCCTGTGGTCTGCTCCAAAGCTCAAGTCCACTGGGAATTATAAATAGTTGCCCTCCGAGGCCACCCCACCCAGGTTAACCGAGGACTGCATCACATTCACGCAGGGAGAGCACGCCATCTAGAAAGTTCCAAGCAGGTGGTCGGCATAGAATTTCTTAAGTTAAACGTCTTGCCTGAGAAGGCTTGGCGTGCCTTTCCTATTCAGATCTGGCTGGATTCTGGACCCGTCCCCACGGCCACTACCTTGGAGACTCCTGCACAAGTGTGACGGATCATTACTTGTTTATCCGTGTCTCGACCCGAGTAAACAAAACCCGTGATGATGCGTTACCACCCAGAACAGACCACTTGCTCCACGGGGGGATGTGCAGCACAAAGGGAAACTGAGATTTTACCAAAGTCTGAGCTCCCGGCCCCACTTTGTCCTGGGTTTGGCTGAGGTCACTGCCAGGGCGCCCTTTCCCTCCTTTCTGCCCTTGGCCTGCCCTGGGTGACAGCCTCTCCCCCAGCAGAGTCGCCCGTGAAGACGCCCGTTAAGGTGAAGGTCATCGAGAAGGACATCTCCATCCAGGCCATCTCGTGCCACGGCGCGCCCGTCAGCAAGACGTTCTCTTCTTCAGACACAGGTGAGCGGGCAGCGCTCCTCCCTCCTGGCTCTCGGGCTGCCCTCACAGGCCTCTCATCTGCCTAGAAGTCAAGATTCCTTTTCTGAGTTTTTTTTTTTTTTTTCCCTAATGACAAGTAGATCCTGAGAATGGGGAAATCACAGGAAGACCAGAGTCACACCAAGTCCCTGCTAGGGTTGAGGGAACACTTGAACAGAATCAATACAAAAACCCAAAGGAGGCCTTTCTGAACATAATTTTTCCTGCTCTTCAGTACATTGGTGACGTTGATGCTATTGGAGAAGCAGAACTGTGGGGACAGCCGCTCCCAGGGCTGGAGCGTGTCCCGCTGTCTGCCGAAGCCTGCTGGCTAGGAGTGGCTCCCCGCCCTCTGTGCACATCTCAGGTTTTGATGGTGGTTCTCGGGGAACGGGCGTCTTTGGAAAGATGTGTGTCTCTGGATCACAGCACCATCTGAATTTAGGGCTGGACTTTCTCCCTGGCCCTCCTGTGACCTCCCATCAGAGAAAGGGCAGGTGGGCGCTTCTCTCGCTCACCCTCCTTTCTGATTGCGGCCTCACTGAGATCCGAGGTGGGGCAAGGCCCGCCAGGAGCAGAAGGTCTCGCGCAACCACCCCGGTCTGGGACGGTGCTGTGTCCCGCAGTTTGCAACTGCCCTTCCCTGGCAGGCCCCCATGCCTCTATGGCTCCTGCCCTTCTGGGCCACCTGTAGTGTCCAGGACATAGCCCAGGCCCCTCTCTTGGCCACCACTTCTGATGCCCTTCCTCAGGGTCCGGCCCCAGTGCGCTCCAGTCCTCATGCCATGGGGCCCTTCGTCTGGTTTAAAAGACCTGGGCAGATGTCCTCAGACTACCCCTGGCAGTGGGGCCACCCCAGGTCACTGTCCACTGGGCAACCAGGGACAACTGTGGCTTTCTGGGGCTGTACCTGCATGATGACCAGCTCCGAGGACTGCTCCCTCCAGCTGTCCTGCCTCCCTTTTCTTGGTGGCTTTTCCTTGGTGACAAGGAGGTCTCTGCAGATCCTTTCTCTTGACCCTTCTCTGTGAGCCAGAGGCTAAGGACAAAACTGTTCCTCTACCCACAACACTGTGGCTCCAAGTGTGTGGCAGAGCCAGGCAGTTCCCCTTCTCTGCAGACAGCAGCCGCGTGCCCTGCAGTGTGACTCAGTTCTGACGCTGGCCTCGGGAGTTAGCTCAGACCCACAGGTTAAAGGCTCAGCCCCAAGACTATCGCTTCCCTGTGTCTGTGCCAGCCACAAGCCACAGTGCCCCAGGGACCCACACTCTGACTCTACCTATCGGGTCCCCCAGCCCGTGACCCTCCGTTACCAGTTTGGAGTCACGACTTAAGCACCCAGGGAGATACGTCCCTAGAGTTACCAGGCTGTGCTAAAGGGTGCAGATGCACAGCCAGGGAGCAGGTACCCAGGACAGGGCAAGAAGGGTCCCATGCTGGAGCTTCTGTCTGTGGAGCCCGTGATGTGCTCCCCCTGGCATTTAGTGGTGCTAGACCAGAAGCCCTCTGAGCCTGTCGTTCAGGGGTTTGTGGGGGCTCCACTCTACTGGCTTGGTGGAGTGCATGACTGGTCATTGATGTTGAACCAGGACCCCTGGTCCCTGCCTCTCCCCTGAGGCAAGGGGAGCCTCGTTAGCATAAACTGGATGCAGTTAAAAGAGGTTCATTATGAATAACCAAAGGCCCACTCCTTCCTGAGACACCCCAAGCTCTGGGCTGGGAACGTGGCATCACAGGGCCTGGGCCAGCAGTCCCCACCCACTCCCTTTGGAAACTGACCTCTCTGGCCCTCAGGCCATGGCTGAGGCTGCGGTAGGAAAAGCTCCTTTTAACATCTCCGCCATTCTTAACGTCTCCTCAGCAGAAGAGTTAGGTTATAACCTTGTGCCTTGCGTCAGAGGCCGTCCTGGTCATCCCTCACCCAGCTATCCGTCATTTTCCCCGTTTGTCAAATGGAGGTTCGGAAAAAAGAAAAAACAGAGTTGGCCTCATGGGGTCTGGGAGTGAGCAGATGAGGTCCGTGTACACGGCTCTTCCGAGAGCTCCTGTGGGTGGAGAGCACCGTGAAGCTGGTGGCCCTGCTGGTTATGTGGCCCTTCCTGAGCCCTGCCTTTCAAGGTTCAGTCTCCACGGAGGGTAGAGGTGCTGGGTCTGCCTGCCGCTTTCCTCACGTTTCAACCCTACTGCCAGAGGTCATCCAAAGCCGCGGGGAGGGGCTGTTTTAGAGAGATGGCTTGCAAAGCCTCCAGAGTTTACGCCCTGGCCCTGTATCAGAGATGTTTGCCAGTCATTTCCGTCACCCCTCGAAGTTCCCCGAAGCATTTGGTTTTGCTCATGAGCTCAGCGCTACCTTCCCTGCTGCAGAACTGCTGGTGTTGAATGGCTCCGATCCGGTGGCTGAGGTTGCCATCCGGCAGCTCAGCGAGTCTTCCAAGCTGAAACTCAAGTCACCCCGAAAGAAGAGCACTATCATCATTTCAGGGATTTCCAAGGTACGGTCAGGGCCATAGGGCGTGGGGGTGTGTGTGTCCATCAAGGACCTCGGCTTCCGCCCTTGAAGGGTCAGTCCAGGCACAGGTCAGTGTTGGGAAGTCCCCTTGGCAGGTGTGAGACCTCCCTGTCCCAGCAGGGAGCTACGAGGCGGAGAGCTGGCACAGCTTGTGCTGTTCATTTCCGCCCAGCGAAGCCTTGAGTATTGAGGGGCTGGTGACATGTCCTCACTGGGAGGGAAGGCTGATGGATCACTCCCCTTGGTGCAGACCCCACCCTCGTCACTGCCCGGTTTCCGGAGAACTTGAACTTCTTCCACATTACACACTTCTAAAGCATTTTAATTTTCACAACAGATATTGATTTATTTTGTTATCCGAGAGAAATTAAGACTTTTGTAAAAAATACCCCGATCCCTACTCTTTCCCAAATCCTGCCCTGGGGTGTCCGTGGGGAGCAAGAGGGGGCGGGACTGTCTAGTGGCAGCTGTGTGGCCCAAGCTGCAGGGGGGCAGCTCCCCAGAGCTCAGGGCCTCAGGAGACCGTGATTCTGCTTTGATATTAACTGCTGGTGGGATGGTTGGAGAGTCTGATTTGCAGGAGGAGGAGGAAGTTTGAACGGGGCCCAGGGAGCGGGATTGGACTCCCGAGGTAAAGGAGGGTGGGCTGGAGGGCAGAAGGTGAGTCACCACGTTTCCATTGTACCCAGAGTGTGAGTGACCTGGCCTCAGTCCCCAGGACACTGGCTCACAGGTGGCCCTGAGCATCACCCAGGCAGGTACCATTTCTTTTGGGTTCCTGGGTGCATTTCCAGTAGTAGCCAACAGGTGGCCCCCTCCAGAGCACCAGGCCCAATGGTGGTTCTTTTCAGACCTGGGTAAATGAATGAACAAAACCAAGGCAAGACCCGAGATCATCTGGCCTGTGCTTTCTCTACAGCTTTATTTTAGAATCACAAACTTACAAATCTTAAAATTTCATATCTGCAATCCACTGTGGTTATAATTTTTATTGATTTCCAAAGTGTCCCATTTGAGTCAGTAGGCACTTCTGCAAGCTAGTCCTTAAGTTAGTAAAGTACACATGCCAGTTGTCACTGAGCAGCTCACCTGGGTAAGTGCCACCCAGGTGAGGACAGCATGGCAGCCTCCACGGACCTGCAGCCCTCCCTGCCCAGTCATTTTCTCACTGAGCCACTGCTTGACCCCCCACCCCAGAGGAGTTCAGAGACTGCGTTGATTTTACATATAAATGCAGTTCTTATAAGGATACAAAGTGCCCTCCAATGAAGTTCTGCTTGTGAGTAACTTGAAAACACAGTAGGAGCAAAGATTGAAAGACTAAATCTGAAACACCAAGCCCACTCCCTTTGTCCCCTTATATACTATCTCACCTCCAGCTGTGAGTGCTAGGCCGCCCCTGGCTGCGGGCAGCCCTGCGCCTGGGTTGTGGAGGGGAGCAGCCCTGGCCTGACTCTTAGCAGCTCCGAGGCACAAGAGCCCTCTTAGGGGCCAGCCGGCTGCTCCCATTGTAAGACCCCAGAGAGAACATCAGCGCTGTGCCAGGCCCCCGACCTTCCCCTGTCCCCTGACATCTTGCCCTGCCCCGGCTGTGCATTCGCCCTCGGCCTGATGGTGCATTTTCCCCACAGACCTCACTCTCTCAGGACCACGAGGCTGCCCTGATGCAGGACTATGCATCCTCCATGGACAGCGCCCGCCAGGACGCCCCATCTGGCCCATGTCCCGCGGAGGCGGCCATGGCCTCTGCCCCACCAGTGGAGGATGAGCCAGCCCAGGACCCAGCTGCCCTAAAGCCCCAGGAGAAGGAACTGGACTCGTGGGACTTGGAGAAGGAGCCCCTGGCGGCAGCGTGGGGAGGCCCAGCCCGGCTGGAGCTTGATGGGGACGAGCTGTCTGAGAGCTCCCTGAGCATCTCGGAGCCTGGCGCTGCCAAGAAGCCTAAAGGTACCTGCCCCCGAGCCCTGGGCCCCCTGCTTGGGGGCTTCAGTCTCACGCGGGTGTCCACCCTCCTTGGGTTCTTGCCATCAGCCTCCCTTCCTCTGCCCTCTGAGCTCCATCCCAGCCCGTCCCTCCCCTGTGCTAAATGCCCATGCCCACTGAGAGCCTGCGGGGCAGGCTGGGGGCCTTGGGGTGAGTGGCTAGGCCAGCTGTGCATTTGGGGGCAGTTTATGATCATGCCTAGAGCTCCCCTTCCCCTCTGGGATGGATCCACCTGGGAGCAGGGGTGCCCCTGCTCTCGAAGTCACCAGGAGCCAAGTCCAAGGTGGGGCCAGAGACAGCAACGCCTGGGGAGACCAGGTCTCTGGCCGTGGGATTGGCGCTCACCTCATCTGCCCCCAGACCTCCTCAAACTAACACGAAACCCAGCCTCAGCCTCGTGCCTGAACCCGACAGGGGCTACAGGAGGAAAGAAGCCATGTGACCCCTTTCTTAGAACAGCCATGGCTTTCTCTCAGCACTAAACTCTCGCTGTGGAGCCACACCTGCTTCTCAGGTGTGTAGAGTTTGGCCTGAGCCACGGCATCCCAGTCACCTGTGGGAATACTTGTGGGGCTCAGAGACCTCAATGCACCCAGCCTCGGTGTCCTCCCTAGCAGGGACCGTGCCCACTGCCTGTGCCCCTCTCCTGCGCTCCTCCATTCAGGTGCAGGCTGAGCCTCTGGAGGAGCTGGGGTAGGTGGGGCTGAGGGCAGCGTGTGGGTGCTGGGACTCCAGCAGGCTTCTCAGCACTCCCAAGAATGCACACCGTGCACCCTGGAATTCTTGGTCATTCTAGGGCTCAGGAAACCTGGGGCTCTTCTGCTGCAGCCTGTCCCACCCTTTGTTCCCACTGCCACAGGCACCTGGTTCTCCTACTGGGGACATTGGCCTAGAGAACATGGGCAATGTCTGGAGGCAGATTGGGGATCACAGTAGGGAGTGGGGTTCTATTGGCATCTTGTGGGTAGAGGTGACAGGTGCTACTGAGCACCCTGCAGGGCACAGGGCAGTCCTCACTGAGCCCTCAGGAGCCCACTGTGCTGAGGGTGAGAGCCTTCGAGGGCCTGGGGACATCCCACCTTCCCCTACTTTGACGGTCCACTTCCTCTTGCCGACTTGGAACCCAGTTCGCCCTCCCCGTGTATTCCCAGATGGCTGATGTGGCTCTTGCTGTCCACCCAGAGGCCAGTCCCCCTCCTCCGCCCCTTGCTCCCTGCCCTCTGGTTTCCCACAGTCCCCCGCGTCTCCACCCTCACTGTGCCCTGCCTTCCCGCCTCCCCTTCCCTGGCCAGGTGGATGATGCCTCCTGGGAATCTAGGTGTCAGGCAGGTCGGATGGGGGCTTGGGCTGCCTCCCACCCATGCTTCATCTGCCCCAAGCTCTGGGCATTTGGCTGGGGACCTGTCGAGGACACTTCAGCTAAGTAGCACATTTCACTCTGGGGGCACTGATGCACTGACCCCAGGTTTGTTTTTATTTTAAAGGAGGTATTTGGATGAATTGAAAAACAACATATTTTTTCCCATTCCAGTGTTTTCCAAGAGATTTGCGATAGCATCTCTGGGTTGTTATTAGACTATGTTGTGGTTGCCAAATCGTTCTCATTTTACACTGGAAAAAAATTCTGAAACATACAGGGGAATGATTCTGTGGAGTCTGTGGTTTACAGACCACCTGTACCCGCTGGGTAGCTGGAGTCTGTGGGAGACTCCTGGGGATGCTCTATTTGGAATTCTTCTGGAATGGAGCTGGTTGGGAACATTTGCACACTGCAGTGGTGCTTCCAAAACAGGAAACTGGCTCCCGGGACTTAGTTTATTTATAATCTAAGAAAGTATTGACAGAGCATCCCGACAGTGTGTATGGGTGGAGACCACCAACCCGTGGAACCAGTCACAGGGGTGTCTTTCGGGAGATCTTGGGGGGCGTGGGGGTGGAAACCTTGCCCGCTGTCCACTCAGCGATGTGCAGCGGTCCTCTTCCTCGCGTTCTGATTTCGCTCTTGCGGCTTTTCTTTTCACCTCTCCGCTCTCTGCCTCCGTGCCCTTCCCCCTCACTTAAGAGGATCGCTCTGCCGACCAGAGTTAAGTGTCTGCACAGTAAGTCCTTTTTGTCTTCTATCTTTTAATTACATGTTGCCTTGCTCTGAGAAAAGCGCTGGGCCAGGGGAGGACCGCTGCGTCCTCTCCCGCCCGTCCTGCTTCCCCAACTTGCGCTCTGCCTGCAGGGACGCAGTGCCCAGTGAGCTGGGTGGACTGGGAGGGAGCCTAGGCTTCCCCTCTGGGTGCTGGCTTCTGCCACCCACCTGTCCGCCCGCCTGTCCAGCGTGCGTTTGAGAGCTGTTCCCAGCCGCAGACCACAGTTACGCAGGTCGCTTTTTTGGCCACTTTTTCCTACCTGTAGGACTTTAAGATGATTCCTCCATTAGCTACTTATACCTGTTAGACTCCAAAGAGACAAATAGAAATAAGTTTTGGAAATATGTGAGACATTAGAGCTATAACTTAGAATAATTATTTTTGCTTCCTGTATGTGTATTTGTTTATACTTGAGCCTCCTTGGGATCTTTTTTTCCCCGAGAACCAGGGAAATACATTTTTTTTTCTGTCTCCTGTTTAAAAATCTCAATTATTTGCTTCAACTTTCAGATAACCTCCAAGTTGTACCTTTTTTGTTGTCATCTACATTTTGTTTTACTAATTGTTTTAATTGCACAAAGGCATGGCATGGTGTGTGATTGGGAGCATGCTCGGTGTGTGTGATGGAGCCAGGGCAGGTAGTGTTTCCATCTCCCTGAACAGCCTTGAGGATGTTGGATGAGCTCACGGCTGTACAAATTTAGGGGATTTGTCGGGAATGTGTCATATATCTGGTCAAATCCGGGTGGTGGATGTCCCTACCTCCTCACTGTGGCTAGTGTCAGGAGCCTTCAAGCTCCCAAATGTGCTGGTTCTTGTGGAGGACAGCCAGACGTGTCCCTCTGCACCTGCCACAGCCTCCCCTGCTCTCTCCTGCTCTCCACTCTCTGGAAATCACCATCTGCTTCCCAGATTGCACCCTCAGTCCCTGGGAGGCTGTGGTTGGGGGTGAGGACTCAGCCTTGCTCCCACGGCCTGGGGTACAGGTGAGGTAGCCTGGCATGCAGCAGTCAGGTGTCCTGAAGTCACAGTGGCCACAGCTACCCCTGCCCTGGAGTGAGGGTGATGCGGTGGGAACTTCCCTGTCCAGAAAGGGTAGCAGATTGTGTGGCTCAGAGTAAGTGGGGCCTACCAAACCATGAGCTGTAGTATCAGTTTCCCAGAGAAACAAGCCAATAGGTTCTATAGTTTAAGGAACTGCCTCACACAATGGTGGGTCCTGCAAATCTGAAATATGCAGGGCAGGTGGCAGGTTGGCGGTGGGACTCCAGTGTTGAGACAGAATTTCTTCTCTAGATAAACCTTCTGTGTTCCCCACTTAAATTCTTCAGCTGATTGGCTCAGGCCCACCCACATTATCCAGGGTAATTTCCTCAATGTCAGGAGTGTTAGCTTCATGGATAAAATACCTCCTGAGTAACACCGAGACTTGTGTTCGGTTGAATCACTGGGCACTGTGGCCAAATTGACACAGAACACTGGCCATCATGGTCATTAGTCGAGAAGCAACAGGCAGGCTCCAGGTGGCGTTACTTCCCAGCAGCCAGGCAAGGGTACTCATCCCTCTGGGCCACCCTCACATTCACCGATGGAGTGGCCGAGTCCCTGTCACCTAGCAAGCCTGTGGCCATAGTTCTTCCAACGTCCTTTGCCCCAAGGGTAATTGTGCATAGTAGCAGGTTTAAACAGACTTTGGCCATTGTTCAGAACGAGGACCGAATGTCCTCTCTCCACGCTGGGTGCCCTTCGTGGCTGACAGCCGAGCCTCTGGTCCACCATGCCTGGCATCACCCCACGCCCAGCGTCCCTCTCTGTTGGTGCAGTTGTTCCGGAATCCTGCCCAGGCCCATGACTGGGTGGAGGGTCTGGGGGAGCTTCCGTGCGCCAGGCAGCTGTCCGGTGCTCCTCCCCAGGGGTCCGAATGTGGCCTTGCTCCAGCTGCCACTCCTTGGCGTGGGCGCTCATCATCCATCCCTGACGTAGCAGCACAGGCCAGGCCCAGGGATGCAGGCTTCGTAGGCAGAGGCCCCTGAGCCCGTTAGCCAGCGGGCAGCTTCAGCCTGTCCTCCACGCTCGCACTGTGACCGAGGGTCACCCTCCCTCCCGATGGGCCGTAGGTAGCCATTGTGGCACTGCAAGTCTTGGTGCGTCCCCTTGAGGACTGTCTTCTCTGCTAGAGACCCGTATTATCCCCACAGAATCCGAGGGGTCAGGTTAGGGGAGCACGTGTGAGTCCCACAGTCCTCTGCAGAGAGCGTGCCCGAGGGCACATGTGACGCTGCACAGGTTTGTTCCCTTCCCCAGAATTCCATTGCCCCCCCCCACCGCTCAGAGCTGCTGCACAGGCCCCACCAGAGGCCCCTCCACATGGTGTGTAGTGCCCACCACTAACACCCATCAGTAGAAACTGCAGCCAGCAGCACGCGTAAGATAAGGACCCTGTGATCCAGCCTGACGTGCAGGTTGGTCCTGCCACTGCATTCAGGGTCTAAGGCACGGTGGACCAGAGGCTTGGCTGTCAGCCACAAAGGGCACCCAGCACGGAGACAGGGCATTCGGCCCTCGTTCTGAACCTGCTACTATGCACAATTACCCTTGGGCGATGCAGCTGCCCTCAGCAGGTGGCTGCCCACCGGGAGGGGAGCACAGCCCCTTCCTAGTGCGTTAAAGACCCTATATCTGTCCCCAGGTTCTGGCTTCCCTTGAACCCTTGGGGACCAGCGCTTGTCCCTTTGGAGCCAGGCACCTATGCCCTGTAGGTGGGCCACTGTGCCTTCTGTCCCCAGAGCCCTATGTCTGCACAGCCCAGGGACAGAGGATGTGACACAGCAGAAGAGTAGCCAAAGGGAAGCGAAGGCCTTGCCTGAGCTGCCCTCTCTGGCTGATGCTGGCTGATGGCCATGTCCCAGGGCTGAGACTGCTGCCCTGTGGCCACCACTCTGCTGCCCCTCTTCTACTTGGCCACCAGGTTCCAGGGCCCAGCAGGAGGCTGTGCTGGGTGTCTGGACTCCGTCTCAGGCCAGATGCTCCCCGGCCTCTCTGGCTGTGTTAGTTTTCTAGGCCAGGACAGAGTGTCACGCACTCAGTGGTTCAGACAACAGGGGTCCATGTCTCTCCGTCTGGAGGCCAGAAGTCCCAGAGTGAAGCATCAGCAGGGTTGGCTCCCCCTGAGGCCCAGGGGAGAGCCTGGGCCGGCCTCTCCTGGCAACTGGGGTTTGCCCACACTCCTGGGCCTTCCTTGGCTTGTGGAAACATGACCAGCCTCTGTGTCCCCCGCATCTTCCCGCGTCTTCCCTCTGTGCCCATCTTTGTGTCCAGGTTTCTCTGTTTTGAGGATGCCAGGCATATTGGATCAGTTCCACCTGATGACCTCACTTTAACTTGACTGCTTCTGTAAAGGTGCTTTCTCCAAAAAAGGGCTCCGTTTCCGAGGTCCTTGGGGTCCTTGGGACTTTGGAAGGACACAGTTAAGGCCCTGCCCACACCTCAGGCCCTGGCTCTAGCCTGCAGGCCAAATTTCAGTGCAGGGACAGTTAGGCAGTGGGCTTTAGGACTGGTCCTCTCCGGACACACCCTCCCACAGGACACAGGTTGGCACAGGATACAGACTGGTTTGTTCCCTTCCCCAGAATTCCATTGCCCCCCCACACCGCTCAGACTCCTCTGCCCTGCCTCTATTCCAAGTGTGGGGGCCCATGCATTCGTGCTTTGCTTTGGGGACTTCCAGGTTAACCCAGAAACAGCCCCTGTAGGACAGAAGGACCCCCAGCCTGAGGTAACCTCAGGATGCAGAGCCCCCTGTAGCTGGGGTCCCCTGCCTAGGAGCCCACTGCGCCCAGCACATGCCGTTTGGTACCCAGGGGATTCTGCTCACCAGACACACCCAGAGCTGGGTCCCGCTGGAGGCCGTCATTGGCCGTCCTGATGCCCTCGAGGGCCTTTCACGACCCGTGGCACTTTCTGGGGATGTGTGTCGCACAGATCTGCCATTTACACATCCTGCTGCCCTCCCTGAGCTTCAGGGTCAGGAGCGGGCAGCGGGGAGGTCCTACCTGATTCTTGTGTTCTTGCTTGAGAGCATTTCAGGCTAGTCACAGTCTTCGTAAAAAAGAATAGCAAAGTTTAGTGAAGGGATCAGAAAAGGGGACAAGGGGCACTCTCAGGGGAGAGAGTGGATCTCTCAGAGAGGATGGCGTGCCCCTCCTGCCCTCCAGTTTTGTTTTGGGTCCTGGGAAGTTTCCAGAGTCCCGCCCAGATCCACCTCTCTGACTGATAGCAGGATGACATCAGACTTCCAAGTCCCCACTGCACAAGGTAAAGGGCCAGGGCAGCTCGGAGTCACTGGGTCCATGCTGACCACTTCTAATTGGAACCTGTTCTTACGGAGTTTATGGCTGGAGTCTTGATCTCCCCGAGTTCTGGAATCGGGTCTGTGTCAGGGTCACAGCAACCTGCCTTCCGCCCAGGGTAACCTGTGCCCTTCTCATGGGCACTGGGGCCTGCATTTCTCCTGCGGATGACAGGGGGTTTGCTGAGGAAGGCAGCAGAGCCTTTGACGTAAGCCTGGCAGGGCTGCAGGTAAACTGCTTTTTAAAAGGAAGCATGTGTGGATCAGCAGGGTGGGCCCGTTGGCAGAACTGTCCCCCATGTTCCCACCACTCATATCTCTTCCCTAACACCTTCCTGTCCTTTCCAGCACTCCTAAAACCCATGGGCTCCCAACTTCAGACACATGTAAAAATATGCCACAGTGGTTCTTCAGAACAGTCGTATTCACAGAGCAGTGTTCTTAGGACGGTGTTTTCTGGCAGCTTTGACCAGGTTACATTCAGCCCACTCCTGGGGCACTCCAGCTTCTTTTCCAGGACAGGGAAGCTCAGCCCCAAAGCCAGCCCCAGAGTGGCTCCTTAGTCACTACTAGTTGACACCAAGGTCTCCCTGGCCTCAGTGGCCCTCATGTGGGCCTGGGTCCATTCATAGGAGTGGACAGCCTGATCCTCTCCTTCCAGTAACCTGGTGGCTACTGGCACACATCACAGTGACTGTGTCTGTGAGACTCCCAACGGAAGCTGAGTCTCCTCACCTCGGGATCAGGTTGGTCATCTTCTGGTCCCTGACACCTCTGCAAGTGGTGATGGATTTCTCGGGCTGGCTTGAAATGCAGGACTTGCTGGGCCCTGCCTGCGAGGGGCCCAACTGCATTATGGAAAGCAGCTGAGCCGCTGTCTGCACCTGACCTCAGGGAACCACTGCTGTTGACGTGGCTATGGAGGCTACCATGGTGCCTCCCACCTGAGACCCTGGGCAGGAAGTCAAGCCATACCAACTGAGCCTTGCGCATGCTGGGCAAGTGTTCTACCACCGAGCTACACCCCCACCCCCAAACTGAGGTTCTGTAGGTTAAAAAGATCAACTAACAGTTTTCATATGGCTTAGTCATATAAGCTGCGTGTACAAATATATATATACACACACACACATGTTTTATATTATAATCATAAATGTTAAAACATATAAATGTATATATTATTTGTATATAGTTGTATATACACAGTTGGATCAGGAGCTACACAAAAATTAGTAAAAAAAAAAAAAAACTTATCCCCAAAAGAACACATATTTGAGTTTCCTGAGAAAGTAAGTACCACTGTTCTCAGGGTCCCTAATCTGGTCTTTTGTGGGTGACCATCCTTCCTGGGGTACACAGCACTGTGCTGCTCTTTACCCCTTCCTGGTGCTGGGGAGGGGCGGAGGGCCCTTGTGGCCAGGTGACAAGAACCTGCTGCCTTTGGCTTGGCTGTGGACGCCTCCACTGTCGGGTCCTCTCTTCCTTCCATCTTTTTTGGTTTTTTAGTTGGACCTTTATTTATATGTAGTGCCGAGAGTCTAACCTGGTGCCGCCCACATGCCAGGCAAGCGCTGCTGCCCCGAGCACAGCCCCTTTTCCTTCCCTCTGAAAGCGGCTGTGCGAGGGCCAGGTGCGGGCCTCCCAGCCAGCAGCAGGGGCTCTGTGGACCAGGTGGGCCCTTCCTCAGAGGTGCCCAGCGTCTTCTCTCTCACTTTCAACTGGTCCTTGGGGTCTGCCGCAGCCCCTGATGGCCCTGTGCTTGCCTCTTACAGGAGGAGTTTTAAGGAGGGGTGCCAAGCTGTTTTTCCGCCGACGGCACCCACAGAAAGACCCCAGCATGAGCCAGTCACACAATGACCTCGTGTTCCTGCAGCAGCACGAGGGTGCCCGGAAGAAAGGGGCGACCCTCACTCGGCTGCTCAACAAGAAGCTGCTGTCCAAGCACCGGGGCAAGAGCGCCTTGAATGGGGCCCCCGTGGAGCCCTGCACGTAGGCCGCCCGCCTCTTTCCCTGCACCCCCGACGGTGCCCTCACCAGGACGGAGCAGGAGTGCCGGCCGCTGCCACATGCCCACTCCTCCAGCTTGGCTTTTCTGGCAATTCGGTCTTTTGAAGGGGAAGAACCGTCTGTGTCTCCAGCCAGAGGTTTCCCCCAAAGAGAACTGACAAAGCCAAATTTGCCACCAGAATCCTGGTGGGACCTGCAGCCCCCACCTAAGCATCGAGGTAACAGTTAGGAGACGAGCTCATTGCAAGAGAAACACCATGCTCAGGGGGTCTTGGGAGGGACCGCTGGGGATTTGGTCTGACCCACGCAGCCCTCAAGCAGGGCGTGTTTGGGGCCCATGCCTGGGCCATGTCATGGGGAGGTGTATCCTCTGGGCTGTCACTGTGAACAGAATGGATGGGTCACCTCTCCTAATTTGCTGCTTAGATAAAAGAGTACACCTGGCCCGGAGGGCAGGGCGGTGGAACATGGGCAGAATTTTTGCTGAAGAAATTATGATAGGAATTGATGAAATGCTTTGACAAATATAGGGAGGCCTTTGCCTTTGCTGTTAGCCATAGAACTTGAAACCTTATGCAAACACTAAGTATGTCCTATGCATATTATACTGAACCTTTCCCCACGGCCACTCCGAGCCTACTTGCCAGCGGAAATAATGGAAGTGTTGACGTGGTTCTCCCACCTTCCTCTGTCACGTCAGAAGCTCCGGATGCCAGGGAGCAGTCCACGTGCAGTTTTCCTCGCCGTCTGGTGCACTTACGAGACCAGGGCGAGGCGAGCCTGACCCAGGAAGTTGGGAGCAATAAGTGACACCTCATAGAACATGGTAACCCCCACACGCGCACGTGCGCGGGTGCACGTGGACACGGTTTTTGCCAAATATTGCCTACAGCCAAAACCAAGTACTTGCAGGGCACTAGAAGAAATTATTTTATGTCTCAGGTGTCCGTCTTAGGAATGGGAGTTGAATAACAAACAGCCAAACCTGGAGATTGATTTCATGGGCTCTTCAGATTTCTGCTGTGAATGGTGCTCCTGGCCACATTTTGGGGTGTCCTTGTTTTGGTTCCAGTGGGAAGAACGATAAGCTTGGCACCTACTTTTAAAACCCCTGTGTACCTAGCAAACAGCTCCCCTCATCAGTACGCCTGTGACTTGGGTCATTCACAGACGTTGCTCCAACTCTTGAATGTGTAATGCCAGCGGACGTGCTTGTTAAAGAGTGATTGTCCCTGAGGTGGCACGTTTTGACCCTTTAATGAGACTGCTGTTCTTCCAGTAAGATGGAGAAGGCTGGTGTACCCTGACCTCCAGCAGATGGGCAAGTGGATGTGCGCCTTCCCACGGCCCGTTAACCCTTCACAGTGTGTTTCAGGGGAACAGAGCCATGCAGGAGCAAGGCCCTTGGTGAGAGTCAAAACTGAAGGACTTTTTTTCTTCCCTGTTTTTGAGGGAGAGATTCAAAAACTACACTGGGAATTTCACTTTCAAATGCACAAGTGACTTTAAAATGACTTTTTAACCATGCTTTTTTAAAAGGATTGCATTTGAAGGTTAACCATTGTAAAGTTCCAAAGTATATAAATAGCAAGTTAGTCCCCAAAGTAAGTAATTGCCACTAGCTTTGGGGGATGGGAAGGGCCACCTCAATGGTTTGTTTTAGTTGAAGTATCACTGTCCTTTGAATTGCAATGGGCAGGACCTGTGACATCTGAGAATCCAATCTAAGAGGGTGTTATGTGTCTGAATCCCAGAATCCCATCAGAAATGTTTGTATAGGTTGGGCATCCCGTACCTGAAATTCTTACTCCAAAATTGTTGCAGAGTGCTTTCAGATTTTGAACGTGTGAACACTCTTTACCAATCAAATATCCCTAATCTAGAAATCCAAAATCTGAAATGCCTGGAAATTCAAAGTGCTTTGAGCTTCTCCATGCTCAAAGTTCCAGATTTGGGATTTTGGGGTTAGGGATGCTCAACCTATACAATATTAAAAAATTTTTTTTTTTTTTTGGTCTGTTTGAAATTCAGGAAGGCTCAATTAAAAAAAAAATAGAAGAAATGCTTTCACCATCCCATTCCCAGGTCCTCCCATGAACGTTCTGTTGTTGTTCAACACCCAGGTCTGGGGCTCACTTCCTGGGGGTGCACCCTCGCCATCTCTGAGTGGCCTTTCTGAGTCATAGAGGAAACTGCTTCTGGGGTGCAGGGGGCATCCTGAGGAACAGGGTGCAATACTGTGAAGTTCCCTCCCACGCTGTTTATCTAGGTCTGCATTTTGTTTTTTTTAAACAGTGTGAGGTATTTATGTTAAAGTGAATGTCTTAAAGGTGATTAAGATCCTACACTGAATGCTGACCACACTTATGTGTCAATCTCCTTTATTCCCAGTTGAGGATTTATTTTTTTTTTTGTCTTGATGGAATTTCTGCAGAGTGGCATTTTATAAGTACCACGTGCTAACCGATGGTGCCACCCAGACTCCCAGAGTGGCATTTTAAAGGTGATTCCTCATGAACACTCGTGCCAGTGTGGGTCTGCCTGTCTTGAGCAGGTGCTCGCTCGTGTGGGTTTGAATGAGCAGCCCTGTACTTCCACTGCTTGAGGATGAGCCTTCGTCTGTGGTGGAGGAATGCGGTGCACCTGTGTGTGTGTGTGTGTGTGTGTGTGTGTGTGTGTGAGTGAAAGTAGCAATAACAAAGTAGGGGTCTCTTTGTTCCAGCTGAAACCTGCTGTGACAAAGAGGATTAGACAGAGCACTTTATCAATCTAGTTTCAAATTTAAGTTCACAACCAGCCCTCGGTCCTCGCCATGGGTACTTGGCCAGGTGCTGCCAGCCAATGACAAATTAGGTGCCCGTCTGGACTTTTGCTTTGGTCTTACTGGCCACATCTACAGAGAGTTGCAATTTTTCTTGAGCAGAAAGGGAAAGATTAATTACATTGCTGTCACCCAAAGTGGGTGTTTTCTGGGTAATAAACTTAAGGTTCTTGGCCTTGAACCCACAGACTACAAGTTGATGGACATTGGAAGTCAAAATATGTGTCTCTTTGAGACAGAAACAGGCCTGGGTACTGAGCCCCTCTCTCCACGGCCCCCAACTGGCCCAGAAGTGATTACCAAAGCAACGCCTCACCCTGCACTACAAGCTCAGGTTATCTTTGGCTCACAGTCCCCCGCACTCCTGTCCCCCGTGCTGGAGGCACTGGACACTCGTCACCTTTTGGCTGGCAGTCTGGTCTTCTCCTCCACGCCATGTCAAGCTGCGTTTTAAAAAGAGAAGAAAGTTCTCCCGGGTGGAAAGGTCTGGCGTGGTTTTGAGCACGGTGGCCGATGCCATGGCGATGGCTGTATTCCTTGGAAGCACTTTAAAAACAGGTGCCAGTCTCGTGAGCCCGTGCCCTTGGCTCCGGGCAGTTTCCTCTGAAGATCGTGTGGCTAGGACATGAATGACCTTTGAAAGAAATAAATGTGCACATGCAACACCATACGCTCAGCTGTCTGTGTTTTGTGGAGCCCTGTGCTGTCTCAAGAGTCGGTGACCACCTCCAAGGGTCTCTCAATTGCGGCCTTTCTCGGTTCCTGCCTGTGACTAACCACCAGGCCAGCTGACCCAAGAGGAGGCAGCCACTGCCCCGTGTCTTCATCCTTAATTCTTGGCAGAGGACTTTCCTCTTTCTGATAGGATTTTGAAGCCACTGAGCATTTGTCTAGGCTTTGGGCTAAAATAACTTACCACAGAAAGCATTTCCAGTGCCCTTTTGGGCCATGGTACACCGTGGGCTCTGCAGGCCAGGGGCCCTGGTGGAGCCTGGTACGTCGGGGCAGGGAAGCCCTGGGCTGGGGTGCAGCTTTGGGAGCAAAGCAGGAGGATCAAGGCATCTCAAGGGCATGCCTCAGGCTGTTGTCCTCTGCGGTGGCTGCCACAGGCTCTATGTTGACCTGGAAAGATCCAAGGCGCATGGCCACCTGGAGCTGAAGGCAGGACATGTCCGTCTGTCCTTGGACTCCTGCTTGCAATAGGTAGGTGCAGGGGGCAGGTGCCTTCTCAGCCACGGGTGCCAGGGTGTCTGCTTGCGTGGGGCTGGTGACGATTCTGTGGTGGGGCAATGGGGCCTGGCATGGTCGGAGACATGTCCTGCGCCACCCTGCAGGCCCCCAGCCCTCTACAGCCATCATTCTACCATCTCCCCCAGTCTGTCCCCTCTGTAGGCCTAAACACCCCAGCATTTGCAGAGCAGGGGCCCTGAGGAGAGCGCGGAGTCCCCTCCGGGAAGTATGGGAACCCCTTGGGAGAGTGCATGAGGCCCTGGCCCCCACCGCCCTTCCTCTCAGCTGTCCCTTTCCGCCTGCTTGTCTGCTAGGCATGTGTGGTTGGCTGCGGGCACTTGCCCTTCAGGTGTGGATTGGTCACTCAGGATCAAAGACTGAGGCTCAGCTTCCCATTGGAAAACTCGTTCCCAGGGGAAGAAGGCCTGGGCCTCAGAGGATCCTGAGCGCCCAGCTGCCTCCAGACTGCAGCTTACTGCTCATGACAGCTGGCACCCTCAGTGCCTGGGTTGGGACTTGGGGAGTTCCAGGGGTCTGAGTGTTGTCTGCCCCGTGGGCCAGCTTTGTGCCCACTGTCCAGGAGGCTGCATGGAGCTGCCAGAAGCCAGATGTCCTAATATGTCTGCTTTCCAATGTCACCTGCCGGTCACTGCCAGGTAAACGCCTTCTGCCAGTCCATCTACACTGCCCAGAGCAATCCGTCGCAACCACCCTGGGGCATTCCAGAATACACGTGTCCCCAGCAGTCACCCCTCACTGTTCTAGTCTGACCAGGATCAAGCTCTGCCTTCTCATGAAGTGTGTCAGCCATCAAGGATCCCCAGGGCGCTGGCCTGCTGTGCTCAGTCCCCTCTCCTTGGGCTTCGTGCCATGCCGGCTCATCTTTTCCATTTGCTCACTAGTAAGAATGGCAGTTCCTGTGTCCCCTGGGCTTAGCACAGCCAGTGCCCCCTTGTGGAGACGGACGTCCACTGAGCTCCCAGACTCAGAAGCTTGGCATCTCCCCATCCTTCTCTGCTCACCAGCACCCAGGGTCCCAGGTGGAGCTGGATGCCAGAGGAGACCTTGACAACATGTTGCTTTGACCTCAGGTACCACAGGCCATGGGGTGCCATGCCCCTGTCAGTGAGTACTTGATAATAAAACGCAAGATGGATGGCACAGCACAGTGACTTCCCTGAATGGAGAGTACCAAGGCCAGACCCTCCCTCCCAGGGGCAACCCAGAAGAATCTGCTGTCACTGTGACCACAGCCCACCCCACGCCCAGCCACCATTTTCACAGTGGAAATGCCAGTTCACACCTGCATGTGACAGGTATTCAGATCTAGTGGCTCTATGCCCATGTATCTATACTGATGTCATCAATATGCCAATTCAAAGTTGGAGGTGTAGGCATACAGGGTGACCAGCTGATACTCATCACTGCTTCAGCATGGCACTGTGATAAGCCCACAGGATACAGGGGTTTATGTCCTAGCTGGGTAGTGAGCACAGCTACTAAAGAAAAGTAAAAGAAAGATTCAAGGCCACAAGAGTAGCTAATACTAATTGAACACCTTACTATATGCCAAGAATTTTTTTAGAGTGCTTTATATGTGGTAACTTACAGACTCTTTCAAATTACTCTGTGCATCCTGATCTACCTTGGCCTTACAGACCAGGAAGCTGAGGCACAGTGTTAAGACACTTGCCCAGGCTCACGGAGTTGAAAGGTGGCAGCCTCAGTTAGAGCCGAGGCTGTCTGGTGGAAGAAGCCAGGCCCACAGCCTCCACCACCCAACTCTGCCCACACCAGCTCAAGTGCGAGGGGAAAGTCAGTGGCCTTACCTGGTCTGTCTGCACGACACTGCTGCCGGGCTGAGTGAGAGTAGCACAGGGTGCACACAGTAGGAATTCACTTATTGTGGATTAGACTCCCCTCTATCTGCATAAAAATTAGCCAGACTTAAAAAAAAAAAAGCTAGTGGTAGACGGAGAGGGGACTAGGGTATCTATGATGCTGGCACTGAAGGAGTTTTGCGTCCAGATGAACAGGAAAACCAGAGCAGGTGAGGTGTGGGAGTTGGGAGAGCGTGGCTCTGGGCAGGCCACCACCAGGGCAGGGAGCCATGCTGTCAGAGAACACATGCCTTAGGGACAGTGTTCCTAGGCTGATGGTAATGGAAGCACTTGTTTCTAAAGAATTCTCAACTCATTTTTTAAAAATTCAGACCTACTTGCCACTCACCCACCTCTCACCCAGTTTCATTCATTGGCTACGCCTGCCCTGCCATCTCCCTGTGTCCATCACACATCCACTTGTCCTTCCCTGTGTATCAGGTTGTGGGGGTGCGCTGTGACGTGTCACCCTCTGCCCTTCAGCAGGCTCTGAAAACCAAGGCACCCTACTGTCACGCACTCAGGATCACCCTGGGAAATTCCACCCTGGGTGGTACTGTCACTGAGCACCACGGAGAGCACCTGAAGTTCTCACCCACAGACCACCTTTATAGTGAGTCGGTTTTCCTTTTTTTTTGCCCACGATTCAAAGATTTGTTGTGTCAGGATTCATAATGAAACTGGACACTTTTTTTCTAACTTTGGAATTAAGGACATACATTTATTTGCCTTAGAATTTATTATTTCTAGCCTTTAGTGAAGAAATATCCTGAACACACAGGATTTTCTTGGCAACACAGTGACTGTTGTGAGTGTAAATTGAATGCCAGCCGTATTGTGGTCATTGACGTGAGAAATGGCCGGGGACGGAGGTGTGTCATAGACAGCCTTTTTGTTACCGTGACCCAAAGACCTGAAAAGCACAGTGTGGAGAAGGAAAAGTTCATGTGGGCCCAGTTTCAGGGGGTCAGTACATCCTCGGGCAACCCCACAGCTCCAGGCCTGAGGTGAGGCAGAACTTCCTGGCTGGGGGTGTGGTAGAGGAGGGCAGCTCAGGACAGGTAACTAGAGCAGGTAAGCAGGTAACAGGTAAGCAGAGCGAGACCTCCACTCACTAGGGACACACTATAAACCCCAAAGTCACAACCCAGGGACCCACCTCCTCCAGCCACATTCCACCTGCCTGCAATCCATCAGTAGATCAATCCACTGACAAGGTTACGCCTCTGGTAATCTACCAGTCTTACCCCTGAAATGCTTGCCTTGTCTCACCATGAGCTTCTGGGAGGCACTTCATATTTAAACCATGACTTTCTATCCTTGGCCCCCAAAAGCTCACACCCATCTCACAATGCAAAATACACTGGTCCATTTCCAGGGGTCCCCATGGTCTCAGCAGCTCTACCACTGCCCCAAGTCCAAGTCCAAGATCTCATCCAAGACTTCAGATGAATTCATGGATGTTGTCCCCTGTAGAGGTCAAAAGCAAGTCACATATACCCAATATGTAATGGCCCAGAGTAAACATTCCCATTCCACAAGGGAAAAACAGGGACGAGACCAAAGCAAGACTGAGACCCTGGGGGGCAAGCAAGTCCTGCAGCTCCGTGTCCAGCACCTGGGCACTTGGCAGGGTGATGGTCTCTCTGGGCTGCGGCCCCCACAGCCTCTCTGCTGCTTGTCCCGTATCTGCGGCTTTCCTCAGTGACGTCCTAGGTTACTGGCCCCTTTGGGATCTCCACTGGGGCTTCTGGCTTCCGTCTCACCTCTTCATGTATTGGCCTCTCAGGGGCGTCCCACAGGGACTCTGACCCTGCTGCGCTTTGCCAGGCCTCCAGGCTTTCCTTTGCCATCTTGGTGGGAGCCTTCACGACCCCCAAACTCCAGCATCCTTCATTCCTGCAGCACCAGCACGACGTGATGGATGCCAAGGTCTGCCGCCATCTTGAGCTACTAGGAGCTAAGCCTGCTGGGACCACGGATGCAGCATCCTCTGCAGGCCTGGGTGGCCGAGCATGGTAAAAACAAACCCCAAAACTTACTAGCACCCCCTCCCCCAAGCTGGATGCCCCTTTGGTCTCTTCTCAAAAAAATGTCTTCTTTTACACCCTGGAGAGAGAGAGGTGTGGTCTTACCAATTCCTGAGACGCCCTCAAGCCAGCTTTCCTATGATTTCTTTAGTGGTTCTAACTTCTTTAACAGCCACACATTCCTTAGCCCCAGTTTCGCTCACACTTTTCTGCCCAGAAGGTTTTCAAATCTTTCTGCTCTGCTTTCTGCTCCTGGTTATCATGGTAAGCTTGGCTAAAATCCACCAGCAACATTCAGGCGCTGTCTGAATGCTGCACTACCTCTAAATTCCCTCCACAGACCAATCACTACATCCCCTTTAAATTCAGCCTCCCAGTCTCAGGACACGGGCAAGATGTAGATACCTTCTTTGCCAGAACGTGACATGAATGGCCTCCAGTCCAGCTTCGACCCCATCCTCTCCTGTGAAACCTCAGTGCCACTGCGTTCAGGTCTCCTGAACCCGCGGCAGTCACCCATCAAGCTCTGCTCACAACATTCGACAGCGTCGATAAACTTTTCAAACCCCCTCCCCCCATGCCACACAAACCAGCTCCAAAAGCTTCTGAGCCCCATGGTCGCACCAGTCACAGCCACATCCCACTCCTCAGTACCAATTTCTGTTAGCTCTTTCATTGCTGTGACAAAAACAACACAGAAGACAGGTTTATTTGGGCTCATGATTTCGGAAGTTCAGTCTGACCACCTGACTCTGCAGCTCTGGGCCTAAGGTGAGGTGGGGCGTCATGGCAGAAAAAGGCAGTTCAGGACCTGAAAACCGGGAAGTAGAGGGCTCTGCTCAACAAGGACAAAACAGCAACCCCCAAGGCACACCCCAGTGACAACTTTCCTCCAGCCACACTCTACCTGCCTATGGTTATCACCCAGTTAACCCTTATTAGCAGAGTCACACAATCTCTTGTAATCTAATCATCTCACCTCTGATTGTCACATGTGGGTTTTGGGGGGACGCCTCATATCTAAACCACAAGGTCTTTGTTACTCTCAGTCCTTCACTCTTGCTATGACCTGCCACTTTCTGTCGGTACCTATTTAGTGTGCAGAGACCCAGAGAACTGGCCACCTGAGTGATGGCCAGAAGGGGTGCACAGAGGGGTGCTGTGGTGTATGTCAGCTATAGGTGTGTGGAGGGGGCTGGAGGGCATTTGGGCAAAGACCTGGATGAAGGGATGGCGGTGGGAAACCTGGGAGAAGGAAGGCTGGCAGGAGGCGGGGTCTGAGCAGGAAGAGGGGAGGGTGGCCAGCTGAGTGGTTCTGGAAAGGTGAGGGATGCTCTGGGTCAGCTTCCTGTACTGCAACTGGGAAGCCACTGTACATATTGGGGCAGGGAGCCCCCTGAACATCTTTCCTCTCTGCTACATGACCTGGCACCCCATGGGCTGCCCAGGAGCACCCAACACTTCCCTTTGAATGGCACTTAGTTATGACTAACCTTACACAGGTGCCCCTCTGCATAGTGCATCTCTGCAGGGTGAGCTACATGTGGAATTGGTGGGCCAAAGGCATCTGGAATCTCTACGGGTTTGTACATTTACCTCCCCCCTAGCACAGGACCGCAGTGTTCCTCTAGAATCCCTCCAAAGTAATGCTATGAATCTTTTATTTTTTTGCTAATCTAATAAAAATCCCCTCACTGGAATCCTGTTTGTTCTCTTATTTCAGATACGAGAGTTAAATGTCTTCTCACGTGTGTAAGAGACACTGTATTCTCTTTTTGTGAGTGACTCCTAGGACCTCACATACACGGGAAAGGAGCTCTTTGTGGTCCCAGTTCAAATAAATCTCCCCAGTTCCTCCTCTCACGGGAAGTCTTGGCAGGCAGGAATGGGAGACAGTGTGCCCCTCTGAACGGGGACGCCAGGACTAGATCAAGAGAGCCAAGTCCCTTCTATTTCAGTTCTCTTCTATTTCCATCACACTTTTTATTTTAGAGCAGGCCTCATGAATGCCGGCCAGGCCCTTTAGCACTGAGACACATCCCCAGTCCTTGTAACTTTAAGGCAGGGCATTGTTGACTGGCGCAGGCTTGCCTGTGCCTGGCCTGTGCCTCCTGATCTGAGTCTGGGGATTACTAGCACAGGGTACTGAACACACACTCCATGGCTGGGTGCTTCCACGTCCCAAGCTTTTCACTTGGGCTGCTCCAAGGCAGCCGCTGGAGTGAAGCCCCTGGGAGGATTCCCACTCCTGGCACTGCGGCTGCTAGGCCTGTGACTTCACGAAGTCCTTATAAACCAAACAAAAAGCCAGCCCAGAATGCCAAACTGCTAAACTCAGAAATTAGGACAATCTGGCAACCCCAGACCTGATCTGGAGAAAACAAGACCCCCTCCAGGTCACCACCACCTTCCACCCTCGGAACCCACAGTACCTAGCAGCTGTAGGGAGCCGCCCCACGCTGGTGGCGTCCAAGCCTCCCGCTCCCGTCCTGCCCTTCCAGTCTGTCCTGAACACGGCCGGCCACCCACTCCTCCAGGTGCCCCGTCCATGCTGCCTGCTCTCCCAGCTCCTGGGTCCACGCTGTGCGTCACGCGTTCCCCCAGCCCTCTATCCACACCGCTCCCCCACACTCCCCCAACCCCTAAGCACGCTGCCCGCTCCACCGGGTCCCCGTCGATGCCGCCCACCACACGATCCCCGACTCCTAGTCCATGCCGACCCCCCTCCCCCCCGCCGTTCCCCAACACCTCGTCCTTGCACTGCCGCCCGCTCCTCAACATCCCGTCCACACCGCCCGCTCCCCGCTCCCCGACACCCCCTGCCCGCTCACCTACACCCCGCTCACCTACACCCCATCGGCTCACCGCCGCCGGCTCCCCGACACCCCATCCACGCTGCCCGCTCCCCGACACCCAGTCCACCCGGTCCGCTCCGGCCCCTCGGTGCACCCTCGCCCGCTCCCCGACACCCCGTCCACTCACCGCCGCCCGCTCCCAGGGCATCCACACACCGGTGCCCGCTCCCTCACACCCCGTGTCCATGCAGCCGGCTCCCCGACACCCCGTCCGCTCCCCGGCCCTCTACGCACCTCGCCCGCTCCCAGACACCCTGTCCACTCACCGCCACCCGCTCCCGGACACCTCGTCTGCTCCCCGGCCCTCCACGCACCTGGCCCACTCCCAGACACTCCGTCCACTCACTGCCACCCGCTCCCCGACACCCCGTCTGCTCCCAGCCTTCCACGCACCTCGCCACCTCCCCGACAGGCCGTCCACTCCGCCCGCTCCCCGACACCCCTCCGCTCCCCGGACCCTCCACGCACCCTCGCCCGTTCCCCGACACCCCGTCCGCTCCCCGGCCCTCCACGCACCTCGCCCGCTCCCCGACACCCCGTCCACGCCGCCCGC